GTAGTTTCCCTGGGGGCTGGACCTCAAATTGTTTCAGCCTCCTCCCATGCTGGGTAATTTGGTTCACCATCCTAGATCTATGCCCAAGTGAATTTTGGAGGGACAGAAGTGGCCCCAGCTGGATGCTGGGCTCTTTCTTCAGGCTTGGTGGAGGGCTCATCTGTTCCATGCATAGTGACCTGTTCTATTCCCTCTATTTCTCAGTTCCCTGGCCCAGCAGTTCAGAATGCAGACACACTGGCATCACCCCAGCAGGGGATGATCTATCATTTGCAGTCTGACTATCAGAGGCTCTTGGAGGACGATGGGGTTTGAACTCTTTTTAAAGCCCAGACACGTATCTTGTCCCTTTCTCTCTGTTCCCCTACTCTCTTCTGAAATCTTTTGCAGCACAGAATGCTACTGTAGCACTGGCCACCAAAGACCCAGCAAACCTCTGTAGCTTGGAGCCCGGATCTCCAAGGTATTGGAAAGAGGGAGAGGAGAATGGGATGTGGGGGTTGTTTGTTGCAAGCCTCTGAGTCAGGTCTTTAGGTCAGCTAGTGCAGCTTTGCGGCTGGTAGCATGGCAGGCGGTGAGAGCGGGGATACAGTGTGAGATCAGGGTAGGTATCAGTTCATGATTTTTTTAACCTTCTTTGGGATCTAGATCATAGAGACAGCTGAAGTTGCTTTATCTTTGGTGCATAATTTCTGTTGAGAGGTCATGAGGATCAGTGAAAATGTCAAACCCTCCATCTTGTTGGTTATGTGATCCGGTAAGTCTTTAATCCCAGACTGGCATGTCCCTATCACTTAGCACAGTAGTAGGTCTATGCCTCCCAATTTCATTTGGTATATGGTCAGGCTTTACAAACATGTTAGCATTAGTTTGAGAAAAACTTATATAAATTTTTTTTAATCCTATAATAATTCTAAAAACAAAGTCCATAAATGATTTTTGGATTATATACGTTTTAGATTATTTGTACCATTGCTCTCCTCTGGTGGAGAGAAATCATTAGTAGCTGGTTGCATTGGCAACAATTTGAGCTCTTGAGAAGAAACAGGCATGACAAATACGTAATGATAATGTTAACCTGGAGAAACTATAAAGTATGGTAAAACCATGGAAAGTCTGTTCTCATTGAAACTATATAGAACCCTGGAAATCTCTCTCTCTCCCTCACACACACATACACAGAGAACACATTTAAACCCCCTGCAAGCTTTCCCACTAAGAATTAAGAAAAAGTCTGTCTCTAGGCTGGATTTAAAGTCTGCCGAAAACAGATGCCCACACAAGGCAATCCAGGCTTCCTTAAGAATTCACTCTCACAGACCATATGCTCCCTGCCTGAGTGACACACACAAGCAGGTGGAAAGCAAGCATCCTCTGATACTGTCAGCAGACGGCATCTCTGTGCTGATGGGAGGCTGCATTACGCGCCAACATTCGAGGTGGGAATGTGCAGATCTGAAGCTGCCATATGGATTCTGGGCCTTCCCTGATCTTGGCTCCTAGGAAGTCTCACTCCTTGATATTGTGCCTAAGTTTATAACTGGGTGTGTGTGTGTGGGGGTGGGAGGGAGGGCCTAAGAGCTCTTTGCCATGCATTAAAAACATACACCTCACCCCCATTAGAAGATGTTGAACATGAAGTCATAAAGAGACCCTCGGTTTGAGAAATCTCCCATCATTACATCAGTCCCCATAAAAAAAATTCTGCATGGGAAAGGGATGGGGAGCATATGACCAGATTTCTATTAAGAGCACATGTAGTATTTGCATAAAAATAAAGGCAGAAATGGCTACTGAAGACCAAAAGGAGGGAGGAAGGTAGTTCAGAGAGGACATAACCTGGTCACAACCTATATTTCTTTTATTTTTTTCCCTCAAAATTGATGCCTTTTATTTATTTATTTTTTAATCACGTTCACTTCTGGATATGCCTCTCCTTGCTACATCCAGGGAACCTTCCCTGGTAACAAACATTTTAAAAGAAGAAAAAAGCCACAGTTGAAGATACCATATATGTAGCACCCCACAGCCACAGCACCTTACCTCTCCAATGAAAGAAGGGAGGTATATTTTCTCATCTCTTTTCTCAGGTGCCAGGCTTGATCATTATAATTAAAGAGGGCTCAGTTTTGACACAGCATTGTTACCGTACACGCTGTTTCACTGCTTTTGCTGACATCACTCTGCAAGAATTCATATGAGACCTCCTAGGTCACTCTGAATTCTTCATCTACATGATTTCTTATGGCACAGTAATATTCAATTCCATGCATGTATTACAGTTTATCTAGCTATTCCCCAAGCAATGGGTTAGTACTTTTTATTTTTAATTTCTTTGCTGACCCCCCTCCCCCCATGCTACTATGAATCTTTTGGTCTATGCGTTACCTTCAGTTCTGTCTTTGCCTTCCTGGGATATATGCCTAGCAGTAGGATATCTGAGACAAATGGTATAGTGGACATTTCTGGTCTCTTTTTTAACTCTAATTTACAATTTTAGCCCATTCTCACATATTTTGTGAACATGACACTCTAACCAAATCAGACTAGTTATCCCTTCCATATCATGGGGGTAAGGGGTGTGATACTCCCATGATGTAGAATCGTGTAAAATTTTTTGGCCCTCCCTTTGCACCAGAGAACAAGTCTGAATTTTTCCTTTTTCTTTTATAGGGTGCTTACAGTACCTTATTATAAAATTTGGGTTGATATTATACAATACTATACATATATTTTATGCATTTTTTTAGTTTCTAAATTTTTTCTGTGTCATCTGCTGGCCTTCACAAGCCATCTGAGGTTTCCGCAAAACTCCCAAAAAATTCCCATTAAATTTCTTATGCTGGCCTGTGATATATCAAAACTGCAATGGGGAAAGTTACAATGTGGAAGGGATAACAGTATTCTCCTTTTCCCAAACATACTTTCCAGGCCCCAAGTTTTTTGCCCGAACTGTTCTTAGTATTTGGCACACCCTCCCCTCATATCTACACCACATGAAATCCACTTTTCCTTCAAAGTTCAATTCAAATGTCTTCTATACTGAAGCAAGAAGTCTCTGACCCCCCTCAGCTGAAACAGGCCTCATCTTCCTCCTCTCTGGTTTCACAGCACTCTGGTTATACTCCTCTGATGTATGTCCTGATCATACTTCATTGTGTATTGTGTTGATCTATCTACAAATTTTGTCTCCCCTACTTAGTTAAGTTTTGTGAGAGCACCGACCATGCTTCTTCACCAGCAAACTGGGTACAATGATGCTGGCATTTACTACCTCACAGGGTTGTGTTGAAGAAGGTGCTTTGTGAACAGTAATGGACTACTATGGTCTTTGTATCGCCTCAAGACCTAGTATAGGGCCTTGTATAGAACTGGATAACAACAGTGATGACCACAGATGACATTTAAGGTTTGCCAATCACTTGAAAGTCTTACATGATTGCCACCAACAACTCACGGAGGCAGATGCTAGTCATGTCCTTATTGCCCAGATAAGGAAAATAAGTGGTGAAGGGACTTTACTCAAGTGTTGGGCTAGGAGGAGAACCCAGGCCCTTACTTACTACCAAACCCAATAAGTTTTTGTTTTTCAACTAGATCCCAGCAAAGGGAAGGTGGAAGGGAAGAAAGTGAAGATAGCAGGGCAGATTTACCCAAGGGCATGCTGGCTTGACTCCCCTATACAAACACTTGGTTACCATGCTCTCCCAGGCCTGACATCAGCCATTGCATCCTGGCCTCCTATTCTTTTAAATTCCATTATAGTTACCCTTGCTGTAACAACACATCTTGTATCACTCAGAAGGCTTGGCTCGTGATCACCATGATTTAAAGAGGGTGTGATATATAAGCTCCTTTTGGAAGAGTTAAGTATATTTCACTCTCCCACCCCCACCTCTTCTTTCTTTCTTTAAAACAAAACAAAACAAAACAAAACAACTCATAGTATTTCATGTCTGGGAAGGCTGTCAAAGCCCAGCCAAGCACTGTAACTGCCAAATCCTTTAAGAATCAGGTTGGCAGGACTGGTGAGAAACAAGTGGTCAATTAGTGCTGTTATTGAAGTCAGATCTTCAACCCCAGGAACTCCTGGCGGTAATTAATGTTTTTGTTTTTCTTTCGAGAAGGATTTGGGGACATTCCTCCTTGGAGATGACCACAATTCATAGAGATGTCACAGTCCAGAGGACAAATTAACTGTATCCAAAGGCAATTATACCAGGCAAATGGAAAAATGAAATGGAACAGGCAGTAAAATGAGAGTTAACAGCACAATGGCCAAGCTTTGTTTTCATTAAAAACAAGGCCAACCCATTCAATTTCTGCCTGTCCAGGTATATGATCTGGCTGATTTGTAGCACCCCCTCCCCCCTTTTCCGTTCCACTCCAGTGTTTGCACTGTAACTAAGCAACAAGTGTTGTGGAAAGCTGGAGAATGAGGAGATAAAACCAGAGACACTCCATAGCTCTGAGATCCCTTGCTGAACGCAGACAGGTTACTACCAAAAACAATTTATTACCCTCTTCTTTGGGACACATAGACCCCAACAATACGCATACAATACTGACAGTGATGGATTACAGCTGGCAGGGTAAACGCTGTGTTCTATATCCATTTCTGAAAACCACCCCTTTGTAAAACACTCTCTCTCTCTCTAACTTCTAGGACTTTGGAGGCCCTTCTAAAGCCAAGGATTTGGATCTCTTTACATCATTTCAGAGTGATTATACCCTGACCCAAGAACATTTTGAAAACACAAAAGGACCATCCTTCCCGTATCCTAGATAAGATCAAACCACTTAAAAAAGAGATCGCCAGACATAACCAATGCTTGTATCTAGAAGTAGAAATAATAGGTTTGAATAATAAAGCCCATCTTTACCTTTTCCTGATAACCTGCCTGGGAGAAGGTCAGATACTGAAAGTTAGAAAAATACTCTCTGTTGCTTGTGCACATACTCACACAGACACACATGCACCCACCCACCCACCCACCCACACACACACACACACACACACACACACATTCATGTGAGAGAAGGGGAGAGCCATCCTTTCCGGGGGTTTGGGAAGACAATTTTTCTTCTGCTGATGGAGCTATGGAGACGCCGGCTCATCCCCTCTTAGGACAGCAGCTGTAGCACTTGACGGATTCTCTCACTCTTCTCTACTAAACTTGAATCTTCAGGCTCTGCATTGTCTAATTCCTTCATGAGCGTCTCAGCTTTCTGCACTGTCACCTCTCGGGCCCTTCCTTTTAGACCCTCCAAGTAGTCCAGCAGAATGGAGAAATGCTTATCTGGCACCTTTGATGGAGGAAGACAAATGGAAAAGAAGAGAAAAAAAAACACAGGGGAAATTAAAAAGAAAAATTATCTTCTATTTTAGATGGGGGTGGTAGAGGGGCAGAGGGAGAGGATGACCTCAGTGGATGTGGACATTCAGGGGAACAGAAGCAAATCACAAGCAGAGAACATCATGTTCACTACAAGTTGCAAGAGGGGCTTGAAGGTTCACTTGTTCTGGGAAAACATGCTAAGCTCGGGGAAATCAGCTGCTGCAGCTGAGTGCACTCATATGCCTGGCGAGTGACACTTTCAGACCACAAGCTCCCCAAGTCAGAGACACAGTGGCTTGAAGGCGGCCTTGCAAGCCAAGCAACACCTCATCAAATTTAACTCTGTGTGGCAGAACGTGATAATACCAGTTGTGGCTGAGGGCCGAGTGGCCATTCTGGACAGAGCTGTCGGTCATGTGCAGCGCTCATAGACAGTCTGCAAAACAACTTAAATTCCAAGCCATATGGAAACCATTCCCAGATTACATTGAGGCCGGCTCTGTTACATATACTTAAGTATAACGTGCCTGAAATGAACGTTGCTTTAATGGCCACCACGCCTTCTGTTTTCCTTTATTTCTTCTTCCATCCTCTGGCTCTTTTCACAAATGGGTGAGAGAAGGGGTTTAAAAAATGTTAGTTTTGTGCACAGAAGGGGCCTTTGCTGGCTCAGTCACTCAACACCAGAGCTGGAAATGGAACTGAATGGTTCTGAAAACCCTGGTTTTGCGATGTGGGACAATCATGTATAAACTGTTCAACGAGGTACAGAACAGGGCAATGACGGGAGTGGATAGCATACTGAACTTGGAGCCAGGAAGACATGAGTTCAAATTCTGTTTCAGACACTTAGTAGCTGTGTGACTCTGGGCCAGTTACTTAACCTCTCTCAGCCTCAGTTTCTTCCTTCGTAAAATGGGGATAAATAAAAGTACCTACCTCATAGTTTCTGTGAGAATGAAATCAACTATTATCTTTAAAGTACTACACGAATGCTAACCATTATTAGCTATTCTAAGAATGGATCTCTGTCTTCTGCCTGTCAGTGGAAATTGCCCTAGCATCTCTGATTTAATCTTCATGCTTATTCTTCATATGGTAAGAGACTTTCAGGTTCTACACCATGTATGGCAGCTGACTTGGGAATGAGCAGAAGACAACGTAGCTAGAGGCTGCATTAAGTGATTTTTCAGGAATGACTTCATACTGATGCTCTACTGAGTCAATCAGTGATAGAGGTGATAGAAGTCCAAGCTTAACATCAAGGTATTGGGAGGCATCATGAACAGTGAGATAGGACCCTGTCATCCAGGGAGTGGTGAGGACAGACCAGTAAACATGGGAAAAGGTTGGGATTCCCAGGCAGTCTTTGGCTGGTAGTGACAACAGGACCAGGGAGAAGTCACAGTTTGGGCAAAAAGATCACTACAGAATTAAGAGACTAAGATGCCAAGAATACAATACAGAACCAGAGACTGGAAATTTTAAAAAAAAGGATGGTGGTAAAAGTCAGCAGGGAGGGACAAGAGAAGAAAATAGCTGAACAGCTAGAATGAAAGAGATTACTGAGAAGAAAATGTAAACCTGTAGCCTTGGGACACCAGGTTGACATTTACGGATATATGAATTTTATTTGCTAGCTCTTTACTTTAGTGTCTCTGTAGGGATCATGTCTGCCTTGTGGATGCACTTAAGGGATTAAGAATAAAGGGGGAAACTTGAAAAAATGTCCCTCTGGTCTCTACCACACCCCTAACCCTGGGCACCTATAGCAACACTTTATAACACTGAAACCTGAGAGGGTCAGCGTGGCAAAAAAGAACACACACACACACACACACACACACACACACACACACACACACACACCCACCCCACCCCGCCCTGGATGGAATGTTTAGACTCAGCAGAACCTATATGTTTTTGCAGTCTTGGCATAAACACCCGTAATTCCATCCCACCTCCTAGTTATCTGACTTTGGTTTTGGAATCCTACCTCATCCTGTGAAACCATACTGAATATTCCACCATTCAGACAAGAAACTTTTGAAAATACACACACACACACTCACTCACTCAAAGCAGGGCAGGGTTGTTCTCTTTGTTCCCATGACCTTGCCTCGGACACACTAAGAGAGAACCATCATTGACACACTGGCTCTATTTCCTCAGTGAGTGGGAGCTGGGTGAACTTTCTGATCTGAAGTTGAGACCTGGCTTTACAGTCAGGACAATCCTACCTGAGATTCTTGGGTTGATCCCAAGCCACTACACTGGGACCACCAGGATCTGCATTAAATGTAAGCCACTTGATGCTTAAAAATGATGACTGTCAATCAAGAAGCCATAGGATCTTGTAGCGGGATAGTGGCTGGAAGGTTCAGGCTTCTATCCTCGCCTGTCTATTCCTGCTTAGAGCACCTACTAGATTGTCCCTCACTGTGTTAGAAGCTGTGGGAGTAAGAAGTCAAGGAGGAGCCCTGGTCTCTACCCTTGAGGAACTCACTGAACAATAAGAGAGCTTAATTAGGTGCTAGACTATAATTAGTATACAAGGAATTGAGAGAAGCACAAGAGCTGGGTGGATTGGAGCAGTCAAAGAAGGCTTCAGAGGTAGATCCTGATTTGAGTCTTGACAAACGGTCAGAATTTCACAAAGTGTCTAGGGCACTGGGCACATTATTGACCACCACCAAATGCATGCCATCAGGTGGGGGGGAAAGAGACATTTCAGGCACAGAGGCCTGGAGAAAGGTCTGGCGGCGGCAGTGATCGTGGTGCACAGGGCCGGGGAAGGCGGTGGTGGTTTATGCTATATTTGTGGGTCTGACAGCTTTTACCTTTTTCTTCTTGATCGATAAAGTCCTTTTGAATGCAGTCCTCCTAGTAACATAGATCGATTCTGAGGACCCAGGGACTAGGACAGGGGTGAAGAACAAGGCAGAGTGAAGGGGTGTTTGCTGGAGTTGGAACAAAGTCCAGGGTGACAATTATGGCTTAGGTCTTGGAATTCCAGGGACCTGACCTTCTACTTCCAGTTACAATGATGTTCAAGGACCACTTGCATGAATACTGCCTGAGCCCATTAGCCTGTTGCTACATCACAGGGATATATCTGAAAACTACTTTTTTGGGGTGAGGTTAGCTTTCATAAAAGGGTAGCAGGGCTGGTAAAGACAACATGTGTTTGGAGCCTACCAATGCAAGGGCCTCAATTTCAAGCTCATTTTCTTGCAAGCAGTTTTGCAGAGAGGAAAGCCTTTCATAGGGGAAAAAAAGTGGCAATCCTGTATCTTTTCAATACAGAGTCGAATAAGATCAAAAGCTTTATTTGTTTTGGAAGCAGCTGAATGTTCATTATGGGAATGAAAGCAAAGCTGGACAGAGAGGCCTGCTTGCTCCTTCTGTCTGTCCCTCCCAAAGGAAAAGATGCTCTCAGTCACTGCCTAATTACCAAAGATCCTTGGGTCAGGAAAGATTTCAAAAATAAATTAAAAGAGCAAAGATCACACTTAATAGCAACTTAAAAGACAAGTGGCTCTCAAGTTCAGAGTAAAGAAATCTTTGCAGAGAGCAAGCACCAGTCACCAGCTGGTTCCTTGGTTCCCAAGGTATGCCCAAATAGAGATGCTTAGTGAACTACGTTCAGCGGGGTCTGAAACATCACGTCTCTGATCTACCACACTCTCCTCAGGGAGAGTCAAAGGACATTTCTTCCAAAGAGAAACAAATGCCTAACAATTTGGTGCTTTGGTTTTTTTCTTCATTGGTTTTCCTCCACCTTTTGCATTTAATTTTTTAAACCCCAACTTTACGTCTAGCCCATGAATACAGCCTGGCAATAGGAACCTAGGATCAGAGCTATGAACCGTGCTTAGCCATTCTGAGACAACACTCTGGGGTTGTTTTCCTGGGGGTCTGATGTCATCCTTCTGGATTCCATCTGAATTTTTCAGGTGAATACACACTTGCTGAAGATAACATCAGAAGGCCCAACTACTAATTGTGCAACTTGATCTATGAAGTATGTTTGAAGCACAGACTGGAGGTCAGGGTGACCACTCAGTATAAATGCTCTCTCTGGAGGAAGGCCTAACTTGCAAAATATTCATATGTGCTGTCATACTATGAAGTAGGAAATGTGTTTAAAAAAAAAAAGACCAGGAGAAGGAAATGAAGGAAAGTAAATATGAAAGAAAATATACACAGCTTAAAAGAAAATATACACAGCTTAATTCTCCAGTAGAAAACACATGGGTGAGGGAGGAAAAAAAAGGTGGGAGAAAACTAAGTAATTTCATGTAATCATGTTGCTGTCTGTCATGGAACATTCAAAGGGTATTTCTGTGTTATTAGCATAATCTGTGCATTTCCATTACCACAAGCTGCCATTTAAAAAAATGTTTCCAAGTACTCAGGTCATACCTGATATTTGTAAATGGACTAGACTCTCTTTCATGTTACTGGCTCAACTCATAGGCACTGACTGGGCAAGGAAGTTGTTCAACAACAACATGGAAGAAAATGAACCCACGAAAACAGTAGCTCTTAGCCACAAAAGCTAGAAGACCTAGTTGGCTCAAAATGAAATTCTTAAATCCTATACACATTGGGAAACACTGGAACTCAATTCCTGTTGTAAGCCCAGCTTCCTCGGTATCACTGGGAAAAACATCCAGTTAAACTTGGAAGCTGAGGCGGTCAATGCGACTGGCAAAGGCTGAGATTTTGGATCCTTTGAGAGGCTATCTCAGCTGCCTCAGTTTCTGCTGTATTATTTGGCTATAAGTGCTAATCTAAGCACTGAGGAAGAGCTGAGCCGATACGGGCCAGGTGTCACTGAAGGAGAAATGGAGCCAGGCAGAATTCATAGGGTGCAGGTGTGAGAGAATGGAAGCAGAATTGGATTTGGGGAAAAGGAAGGAAGAAAACATTAAGTATCTCCTATGTGCCAGGCACTGTGCTAAGTGCTTTATAAATATTATCTCATTGGATTTTCTCAACAACCCTGGGAGAAAGGTACTATTAATAATTATCCTCATTTTACAGCTGAGGAAATTAAGGCAGACAATAGAGGTTAAGTGACATGCCCAGGGTTACACACCTAGTGTCTGAGGTTGGATTTGAACTCAGGTCTTCCTGACTCTAGGCCCAGAGCTCCATCTACTGTGCCATCCCATTCAAGATCAGTCCTGATCTATGAAAGACAACATAAAATTTATTATCAGGTATCAACACCCAAACAATTTTAAGAAAAGGAGAGTGATATAATGAGTAGGACTGGATTGGGAGGCAGGAGACCTAGGTGTAGCTCCTGACTACCATTAATAGTCTGCGTGACTTTAACAACTCATTTTACCTCCGCAAATTTCTTGTGTATAAAATGAGGACAGGACTAGATGACCCCAGCTCACATTTCTATTGTACTTTAAGTTTTGCAAAGTGCCCTGATCCTCACAAGGGGCCCATGACGTATCTAGTAGGTGAGGAAATGGGCTCTCTGAATCATCTCTGGTGTCCTAAGATTCTAATTGGAAGGGGGAAGATAAGAAATGTCTTATAAAAAGTGTTTCCCCTCCTTCGGAGACTGAATGTTTGCTCAGAGTGCAGCACTGTGGACCACAAGATGCTGGGAAGCACGATTATATAGAGTGAAGAGCTCTGAAGCTGGAGTCAGCAGGCAGCTTCCAATCTGTGTGATGAACACACTAGTGTGGGAACTCTGGGTAAGTCCTCTCTCCAGGACTGAACTATACACTGAACTATCTATAAAATGGGGTGGAGTTGGATGAGATCATCTCGAAGGCCCCTTTTAACTCTCAGATACCATGCTAAGTTTTAAAAAGTCACATATTTGCTCTACCCAATGAGCAGCACTGCCACTATTTTACAGACAGGGGTAGTGGGATTTTCTAAAGTCATGTGGAAACACTGCTGACAACTCCAGGACAAAGTGCTTCTCAAAGGTCTACAAGAGCTAACCTGGGAGCCCAGTTTCGATACAAACCTTATTGCTGTCATACATGTGAAGCAGGAGCCAGGTCTGCCTTGTTTTCTGAAACTTCCACTCCTCACGCTTATTGGCCCAGCTGGTGGAAACAATGACAGACCACAGAGAATCAGGTATGATTTAAACTGTGCAGGGAGGTACTGTTTACAAAAGATGGGAGGCAGAGTCATGCTGTTCCCAGGGGGAAGAGTTTGGCATGTACTTCCTGGGTGACAGAGTCCCATTTATCTTGGGGAATTTCCTTTTGTTATGTTTTTGCCTGGTCTCTCCCCACCTAAATCCAGCCGAGACAGTTCTTTGTGTAAGGCCCTAAAAACAAACAAGAACTAACAAATACCTGGGTCCCACACATACTAAGATATTCAAAGCAGTTCCCTTTGGGATAAAGAAACAGCCTGGGGTAGCATCTGGATGGCTGGTCTTGGAGCCAGGAAGTCCTGCTCAGGGAAAGTCGTGTCTTTGACACACACTGGCTGTGTGACTCTGGGAAAGCCCCTTAATCTCTCAGCATCCCCAAGTACCTCTCTAAGACTAACCTGCTGAAAATGTACCTAATCTGCACTGCTGGAAGGAATTTTCTCATTAGGGCCAGTCCTAGCCCCCAAGAAATGGAGTAAAAGTGGGTGTTTGAACCAAAAGTGAATTCAGTAAGCAATGATGAATGTGAAGAGTTCAGAGAAACATGGGAAGACTTGTATGAATTTAAGTTAAGTGAATTAAAACAGAACCAGAATAACAATATATGAGATGACTGCAATAATGTCAATGAAAATGAAAGGGTAATGATCAATCTTGATTCTGGAGAATCAATAATGAAATAGGGCTTCCCACTTTCCATAGAGAGGTGTGGAACACAGGGCCAGAAGGTGTTTGCTCTGTGTGCTTGTGTGCATGCATGTGTGTGTGTGTGTGTGTGTGTGTGTGTGTGTATACAGGAATATCTCACTTTACTGCACTTCTCAGATACTGCATAATTTTACAAACTGAAGGTCTATGGCAACCCTGTGTTAAGCAAGTCTACTGGCACCATTTTTCTAACAGCACGTGCTAACATTGTGTCTCTGTGTCCCATTTTGGTAACTCTCACAATATTTCAAACTTCTAAATTATTATATCTTTTATGGTGATCTGTGATTAGTGATCTCTGATATTACTGTTACAATTGTTTTGGGGTGCCACAAACCATATCCATATAAGACAGTGAACTTAATCGATAAATGTTACATGTGTTCTGACTGCTCCACTGACTGCCCGTTCCCTCGTCTCCCTTCTTCTCCCCAGGCCTCCTATTCCCTGAGACATAACAGTATTGAAGAACAACACATAAGCTTAATTGATAAAACAGGAGCAGGGTTTGAGAAGACTGACTCCAATTTTGAAAGAAGTTGTAATGCAGGTAAAAAAAACGCAGATATCAAATTGCATCACATAATACAGAGGAATTTTCATGAAAGAAAGAGTCATACGAAGTGGCAAATGTCATTGTTATTTTATTTTAAGAAATTGCCAGGGGCAGTTAGGTGGCACAGTAGATACAGCACTGGCCCTGGAGCCAGGAGGACCTGAGTTCAAATTCAGCCTCAGACACATAACACTCACTAGCTGTGTGACCCTGGGCAAGTCACTTAACCCCACTGCCTAGCCAAAAAAAAAAAAAGTTATCAACAAAATTATTTAGGGGGCAGCTAGGTGGCACAGTGGCTACAGCACTGGCCCTGGAGTCAAGAGGACCTGTGTTCAAATCCTGCCTCAGACATATAACACTTAACTAGCTGTGTGACTCTGGGCAAGACATTTAAACCCCCAATTGCCTCATACACACAAAAAAAGTTGTACTAGAGGGAATTAATAAATATTTTTTAAAAATAGGGGCAGCTAGGTGGTACAGTGAATAGAGCTCTGGCCTTGGAGTCAGGAGGACCTGAGTTCAAATCCAGTCTCAGACACTTATTACTTTTTTTAAAAGTATCAAGAAAATTTATTAAAAAGAAAGTCCAGAGGATTTAGATGTTTCTGGCCAGAAGGGGCTCCACCCCTCTTCAGGAGGGGTGGCTCCTGAGTGCAAGGGCAAGTGTGCTTTTATGCAGTTGAATTCGGCGCGAAACCTCCCAGGCCGGGATTGGTCCATCCCTTCCCAGGTTAAACCTTTCCTTACATGTTTCCCCTTGATATGCTCAAGTATGTTCCCCCTCCCTTGGTCATACGTCCCATGACTCGTTAATGAGGCTCTAATTTTATGCAGGGTGTGTCAGATAATAGTAATGAAGCTCATTAAGCAGGCGCACTAACATTTTTCAGGTGTCCTCAGACTGACTCTAACTGGTCGGAGCTGGCTCAACCCTCATCTTGATTTGGGGGTCTTTATGGAACCACCAACTTACTTTTTTTTGGCTAAGCCTGAGCCCACCTGCAGTGTACTACTTCCTGGAGCTGTTCTTTAAATCTCTGCATTATTCTACCTGTGGAAACTTAAGCCCTTCTAACTCTAACAATTCCCTCCTCTTCTTCTCAATAAGAATTGTGTTTCCACACTTTTTGTTCCTGTTGTCTTTCCTCAAAGCGTTTTAACATTAGTTTGCATTCTTCATCAGAGGAGGAGGAATGATCATTAACTCTCTCAATCATCATCCTAACTCCACTTGATCCTGTTACCTGAATTCCCATAGCCCGGTCCTATTGGGATACTTTTAGTTAGCGCTGTTTCTATTAATTTTTGCACCAGTCCACTGATACAAGGGATGATGCAGCACCTCACTGCAGTTAAAACTTCCGCAGCTACGATTAGAGAGGTGATGATAGATACTGCTATTCCCTTCCATTTGCCAAACCAGGATTCTAACCATCACTTTAATCAGTTATCTATCCCAGAGTTCTCTGCCAGCTCCTCAGCTAAAATGGTTAAACCTTGCAATGCCTTAGTGATGGTTCTACCTGGGACTGCGCTGCTGGGCAACATTTCATCAAGGGATTTTGAGGACTTAAAACAACATGAAAGAAGGAAGGGAAGAGTTGACCAACGCATTGACAAATTAAAAAGGGGGTAGTCCCCTTATTAAGTACAGATACAGAGACCCAAAAGTAATGATAAATTGTCTGTTTAAAGCTTCAGAAATCAGACACTTAATACTTATTAGCTGTGTGACCTTGGGCAAGTCACTTAACCCCAATCACCTCACCCCCCCAAAAAAAAGAAAGAAATTGCCAGAGCCACCCCAACCTTAAGCAACTACCACCCTGATCAGTGAACAGCCATTAACATCAAGGCAAGACCCTCCACCAGCAAAAAGATTATGATTTGCTGAAGGTTCAGACGATGGGTAGCATTTTTTAGCAATAAAACAATTTTTAATTATGGTATGTACATTGGGTTTTTTTGGACATAATATAAACCAAAAAATTTGTGTGACTCACTTTATTGTGATATTTGCTTTATTGTGGTGGTCTGTAACCAAACCCGCAATATCTCCAAGGTATGCCTGTATAGTCTTTAGATATAATAAAGTATATGTGTGTATGTATATTATATATGTATATATATGTATAATCTTCTAAAACATTTTTAAAACATTGATACAGTGATCAAGTCTGATGATTTCTCTCTCTCTCTTTCTGTCTCTGTCTCATACGCATACACACGAAATAAAACTAAGAGCCATTCCCTAATAGAAAAGCCGTCACAGGACATGAATAGTTTTCAAACAAATTGCAAACTCTACATGACCACATGAAAACACATTCCAAATCACTAAGAGAGAAATGCAAATTAAATCAACTCTGAGGTTTCATTTCCTAACAGACAAATTGCCAAAGATTTTCAAAAGATGGGAACTGTCAATATGGGGAATGATTGAAAAAAAAACTTAGAATATATGAATATAATGGAATATTATTGTGTAGTTAAAAAATGACAAATACTAGAAATTCAGAGAAACTTGGGAAGATTTATATGGACTGATGTAGAATGAAATAAGCAGAACTCAGAGAATACTATACATAATGATTGCAATAATGTAAGGAAAAGATGGTCAGAAGGAAGTGAAACAATGAGTAACTGAAAAACCCATTTCAGAGAACAGATAATTATACATAATTTCTCTCTTACAGTAGAAATAGGTGTGACTAGTAGGATACTGTACATACTGTCAGGCAAGTTTAATGCATCAGATGTTTTGCTTAATTGTTTTTTTTTCGTCTGTAGGGATGGTTTAATCTGGTGAGGGGTGGGTGGGTAATGAGTATGATGAAAAGACAAATATATAAACAAATTTTTAAAAAGAATCAAATGAAAAGAGAATGGAAGCATTTTTATGAGTTGCAAAGAACTAAACAAATATAAAGCATCGTGAGAGTGCAGTATCTGCAAGTATTTTAGACTTTGTGGCTCATTCAATTTGTAAACTGCTGAGCAAAATTAAGATATCAGCCCACAGAATACAAATGATTAATTTCTTCTTTCATATATGAAGATGTGAGGGCTAGGCTGCTCTTGGTAAATTAAATACTTTCAAATTAACTCAACAAACATTTTTTGAAAAAAAAATTAAAATTTTAATTTTATTGTTGTGTCCTTTTGTTTTTAAATTAAATGCCAGGAATTAAATGGAGGAAGTTGTATTATATATCTCCCTCTGCCCTCCTCTACACAGCAAGCCATCCCTTGTAATACAGATTAAAAAGAAATAGAAAAAAGGCAGTTCAGTAAAATTAGCCAACACGTTGATTATGCCCAAAGGCAAATGTGATATTCCACACTCGTAGCTTCTGAACCCAGCATTTTCTCTACTCTTCTTCAGGCTTCACTTGGTCATTATAAGTACACAGTGTTTAGTGTTGTAGGTTTTTCTGTTTGTTTGTTTGTCTGTTTTGGTGTTGCTGTTCCTCTTTCTGTTTACACTGGTGTACTTATTGTGAATATCGTTTTCCTGCCCAGGCTTCCTTAGTTAATATAACTTCCTATTCTAGACCAGAGTCCCAAGTCTGAGACCAGTCTTGGGGCTGCACTGGGTACAGGACTCTCAGTAAGGTCAACTAAAAAGAACACCAAGCTTGCTTATCACAATGGTGTGGCGACTGTGACAT